ACGAAGAAGATCTAAGATCTAATAAACCGCAAGATGCGTGATTGGATATCCATACACTTGGGGTTGCGGGAGCACCAACGATCAGCATTCTTTGATGATAGGGTCTGTTACCCAAATGCTAAATAGTATAAGGACCTGGGGCCGCAACAAATCTATCGTATGCATGAAAAGAAAAGGCACCTGTACTCAAGGAGAGGTACCTGAAATCTGGAATCCACGGCGTGGAATCCAGCATCCAAGAGTGTCTTGGACTAATAGGCCATTTCCGAGTTCCCTCGGGCCTCTGTTTCAAAATGAGGGTAGGCGCTGAGCCTTTGATATGGAAATCATTTTTCATTCTCATGCAAATAAAACTCATTTTCACAAGAAAGGGTGTGCACCTAAGAAGGTGCACAACAACTCGGAACTGGCCTATTCCCTTACATGGGAAACACAGCCTCGTCTATCCTGCGAGAGCATCCGGTTTTTTTGTGCTCAAGTTTCTCGGCGGGTGAAACTAGAAACTGGAGCCGAAAAAACCGGATGCTCGGCTGGCGCCGCTTTGTTATGTCCGGTTCTTTTGTTGTTGGGGGGAGGGGGGGGGGGGGGGGGNATGAGGGAGCACTGTGAAAAACCTATGTCATGTCATTCGTACTATTAAGATCTGCACTCATTTGTTTTAGAGGCTCTTGAGGCAAAAAGAACAATTCAACCTGACATTAAGAACTCTGACATCGAGATTGAAAACGATAGGGTGCAAAACGAGGTTTTATTCTTTTTAACTAGACTTTTCTTTTTCACTATCAGAAACAGAGAAATTTTAAAATTCTATTTTCAATAAATCATCATAGATCATATACTTTAGACTAGCTGATTTTTGAAGATATAATTCAGCATTGACTTAATTTAAAACACTGAGCTGTATGCGAGTGATATTGTGTTACCAGGAATGATCGTCAATGTATTTAGGAAATCGTTATAGGTCATTGCCATTTTTTTTATGTTTATACTACAATTGTTACTGTTATATATTGCTTAATTTTCACTTCAAATATTATTGCAAATTATATACTAATTTTTTTACTTAAATAAACATATTTTAATATATATAAAAAGACAATATTATTACCACGATCCACATGAAATTGTTACACACGTGTTCAAATTTAATGAAATTACTATCAAGCGAAATTACATTCCAAAGCACTTTATTTCCTTTAAAAAAAATAGCCAATTATCTCGATTGTCCAATTTATACTGTCTTTCTCACAGTCGAAAATTCATCCCAAATTATATTATTTATTTTATTTTTATTGATGAATATCTCAATACGTATGTTAGATAATGGCAGCCCCATAGGTTGGTGTCGACCTACTGAACAAACAGTTACAAAATACAGACAGCAACAAAGATAAGTAATAAAACTATTTACAAAATTCGTTAGAGCTAAAATATATTAAAAATAGATAAGAGTCTTACATTTAATTGTAAGATAAAGCCAAAAAAAATGTTGTTAAAAATGGATAAAATCCTTTGATTTCATATAGTAACAGAAGCTTCTTTACCTCCAAGTCAACTTCTGATTTTCTCACAGAATTTTTAAGGACTGTTTAAACTGTCCGGAACATTAGTAATTTTTTTTATAAAGTTCCAAATAACTGGTCCTCTGTACCATGAAGAATTTCTACAACAACTCTGATAGAATTTGTTCAAACTTTACGAACAAGGCGGCGAATGGTTTAACAGGCTCCCATGAACAATACTAGAAATAACCTCGCAGTACCGAGAAATACGACCACGAGAAAAATAGGTAACGACGTCACTACATTGTTACACACGACAACACCGAACCGATGTCCAGATAACACCAATCATAACAATTTTCCTCTTTTACTATAATACATCAATGGCGACCGTTTTCCTATCTTCTCGAATGTTCAATATTTACTGTATTTCTAACAGTCAAAAATTCATCCCAAATTTTATTATTTATTTTATTTTTATTATACGCAGCCCCATAGGTTGGTGTCGACCTACTGAACAAACAGTTACAAAATACAGACAGCAACAAAGATAAGTAATAAAACTATTTACAAAATTCGTTAAAGCCAAATTATATTAAAAATAGATAAAAGTCTTACATTTAATTGAAAGATAAAGCTAAAAATATGTTGTTAAAAAGGGTACCGAGAAATACGACCGCAAGAGAAATAGGTAACGACGTCACTAAATTGTTACACACAACAACAGCGATGTCCAGATAACACAAATCATAACAATTTTCCTTTCTTATTATTATAATAATACATCTATGGTGACCGGTTTCTTATATCTTTGTTAATGGGCACATATTCCGGCTCAAACTTGGGAGGTACTGTCGCTAAATAAAGGGGATTTGAGACTGACTTTCATCTCGAAAAACCGTTTATAAGGTAAAAGAACGGCCCGAAAAAAGTGCAAATTGCCGACTATTTATTACTATGGTCTAACCAACGATAGAAACTCTAGAAACCCCGTCTTATTTGAGCTTACAATTTGGCTCCTACTCTATATTTTGTTAGGTTAAAGATACATTTTCTATCATGAGAGATTTTAGTGAAAACTGGTCAAACCGTGAGATATATGTACTCGTTTAGAGTCTTATTTGTATCCTAAAGTGTGAAGTTGAATAATAAGCCATACTGGATATACCCTGGCTCCAGAGGTACGTTCTCGAAATACCTAAGATGAAGTAAACCGTGCTCACGATTTTTTTCCCGGCGCTTCGCGCCTTGCTGTGGTGGCTTTGCCGCAAACTATCAACTTAATCTATTCCCTTATTTGGACCCCGTGGGTTCCTGACTGATCTATTCCTCCTTCTGTAGCAAAGGCAAGAAAAGATATTAAAACAGACGAAATAAGAAACAAAAATCAAACAAAGAAGCCGACAAAAAGAACAATAAAAAAATTCCACCGAAAATCGATTATCGCTCCAAGACTCCATAGTATTCACCTAGAGCAAGGAGAAAGAATAATCGCTTTTGGCAAGGAGATAAGTGGGGCTTTCTTTGAAGACACAGTTTTCAGTTTTGAAATTTTAAATTTCTTTCAGGGAACGAATGTACATATTTTCCCCTGATGAGGGCAACAATGCCTTCGGAATTTATTTCTTAATTAACAGCTACTATGATTCTTTTTTACAACAGAGAAAGGAACTGAACAGGGCCTCCTTTCAACTGAAGACAAGAAAACCCGAGCGCTTCAAACGAAAACTATTGACAAGAAGCGTTCTTTAGCAAAGAGTTCTTAATACTAAGTTAACGACCAATTAAGAATTTTTAAAAAAGGAAGCTTTATAAGATAGTGATACTCTATAATTTTTACCTGTGTGTCTTACCTTTCTTCGGTCGTTTTGGAAGAACGTCGGAAGCTGACATCGACGTGCCGTGATTAAAGTGCTAACGTGGCTGATCAGTTTCTCTAAAATTTCTTTATCCCTTAAATGTGCATGCTAACATCTTTATCATGAGGAGATACGCAGCCAGTGAGCTTAAAAAACAAAAACGCGAGGACAAATGAGAAAAATGCCCGGAAGTTTCCGGTAGAAATTTTTTATGTCGCAAAAGTGCTGAGCATGCGTACTTAGGGAGCAATGTGGGAGTACTTGATTTGTTGACTTTCACTGCTGGCAATCTAAACTAATTGGGCAATTTCTTAAAATCTACTCATTAAAATTTGACGAGATTATGTCCACATCGCACTTCAGTCCATGAACACCTAAAAGTAAATTTTGAACAAAGGACATTTGTGACACAATCAAGTTTCTCATGACAGCTATTTTCTGTAAAAATTTTAAAAACCGTTTTTTTTTCCACAATTTGGGGCCATTTTAACTCCCAAGAGAAACTGAAGACAATGCTCACGCAAAATTTTGGGCAGACAAACAAAGAGCATTATGGTATGTTATGGTATTTTCTGGAGTGGTCAATTGTAATGTCTTAGGATATATTTTGTCCGTGTCAAATTCGAGTCTTTAATTAACACCCCTGTGAGCGTTAACAATCCACAGCCTATCAGACTGTATTCAGCCACTTTAACTATTAACCATGAAAACTTAAAATCCACAAACTCGCTCCCAGCAAAAGTTAATAGTAATATTTGAAACTCAAAACATTAATGTCGTGTCCTGTTTCCGAGGCGCCTAAGGCGATTGTGTTTCAAAATCGACCGGAGAAATGAACCGTCTGTGAGTCGCGCGAATAGTGACAAATTCTCGCTACCTAATACTAATACAAATGAATGTACAGAAAGAGATACGGAAATGTGAAAATGGTTGCTGTCCACAGATGTGGACAACGGCATATTCACATGCATTGGAAGAGGTGTCATGCCTGCTGGGGGTCGGGTGGGTGAGTCGCTGGTTATACAGTTGAGATGAACAAGGAATGGCGGAAATATATCGAGCGCTATAAATGGAAATATTCTTGTTCTATTTCCGCTACTGAGAATGTCCACAAAGCGCTAGGACACGCTAAGAAGAAGACAAGTGTGTTATACATTCTTTCTTTACCCCACGAGCAGAGCGTCTCGCATTCTGATCACTCATTGGAGGTCGGATCACATGCTAAGTAAAATGCATGTAAACTGAGTACTGCGTGACGACAAAAGAAAAGACTGCTTCGCAGAGTAACACAAGATCCGCAAATCCTCACTGGTTTGTCGCTATGTTTCTGCCTTTATTAGATTTTCATATTCCACGCGCTAAGTTATTTAGCTAACTCCGCAGTCTCTGACAGCAATAATAGTCTTACTTGAAGCCGATTGGTAAGGCTGGAAGCCCTTAGGGACCTGGCCGCGGCGAATTGGGCGTCACTTAGTCTGCTACACAGCCGTTTTTGGTGTCGTCCCGTGGGGAGGAACGTTGCGTGACGACACTGAAAACGGCTGTGTAGCAGACAAGGTATCACTCAGTGACGTCAGGAATTAAGTTCAAAATCTGACTACGAGAAAATGGAAAATCTCAGCTTAAGAGTTTCGTTACGTTATGTCCTTGGAGTTGCAATAAGAACTGCATTTTCTAATGACACAGTTGAATCTACATAGAAAGCCAGCTTCGCGCTGAAGTCACGTGACTCAAGATACCACAGCCTGCCAGCATCTATGAGTCGCTTACACTGTCGGCCTATTTCTTCTCTTTCTGATACCGTGAATTGCGACCATCTGCAATGAAAATGAAACGCAGCTTTAGAGCTCGGATGTTTTTGCTACAAGTATCGCGCAAAGGTTTGTCAAAGTCAGGTACAAATTTGGAGTTATTTTTCTTTTGATTTGTTTCGGGTCTATCTAAAAATACCACTTAGTTCGACAGTCTGATTCGAAGGCTGCGAATAGTGTGAGCCCCTAGTCTATTCAGCGTAACTAAATAGAGAAAAGAAGTGTGACGTCACAAAAATTCAAATTTGTGAAATTATGAGATTGGTAAGCATTTTCAGAAATAAGAAGATGAAAAAGGCCTCTTTGCTGAAAATCAGCCTGTTAGTGAAAATTGTTGGGTGGATATAAGCACCAGTTTGCTCTGATGACTCCATACAAATCCTTCTAAAACTTGGCTTGGATCATAACGTTAACCATCTAGGGCTATTTTAGAAGGATTTATATAGAGCATCGGAGCATTACGGCGCTCATATCTCCTCACCAATTTGCACCAACAGGCTGATTTTTAGGAAGTGAACACTTTCTACCTTGTTTGGATATGCCAACCAATCCCATCATTTCATAAATTTAGTTTTTGTGACGTCACTACTTCTCTTTTTCTATTAGGCTTGATAAAAAGGCACAACGCATTAATTAATTACACACAACAATACCTATCTTGATCAGGGCTTTCATTCTTTCTTCCCTCTTTAACTAAAGCCTTTTCTGTCATAGTATTGTGGCCATTTTCATTGTCACTATCCCAGTCTTCGTTATCACTTCCTGAAACTTAAAAATTAACGATAACTCAGTTACAGAAGCTGTCTCGCGATTTAAACATACGCACTACAGCGCTAAGAACCTGACAGAAAGTGGTACAATTATCGTGAGTTTCATAGCAGGTTTATATCGGTCTCCATGTTTTCGCAGTTTGTTTCTTTGTAATACTTGGCTGTTTTTCGGTAATTTGAAGTGTTTCCGTAAGATTTTCCCACAAATGTCATTTTATAGCACTTGCTGCACTGAAAGCCGAGAGGAAGATTAATATCTCAGTTCCAAGTCGATTCCCGCCCTTACGCCAGCGATATTTGGTTTTTCAGCGCATATAGTGATTCAGCGATTACCGGGGTCAGATTTCTCCCTGTCACCAGTGCCATGCGCTATAATTCCGCCCTAGGTAGTATTTAGAACGAACACAGGTTTCCGCGCAATAGTACAGGAGGAAGTTCGGAGCCAAGCACAGGTAACTGTTTCCGCGCTTTAGCACAGAACAATTTTTTACTGCGTTTTGAACCGAACACAGGTAATGCGCGCTATAGCAGAGACCAAATTTCTTCCCGCGCTTGGAGTCAAGCACAGATGCTCTCGCGCTGTAGCAAAGACTAATTTTTCCCCCGCTTGAAGCCGAACACAGGTGCTCGACACCTTAGCACAGACCAGTTTTTTCCCGCCCTAGGAGCCTTACACAGGCGCCCCGCGCTTTAGCACAGGACTCATTTTTTCCCGCGCTTATAGCGCTTGCTCGTCTCAGCACATCAAACCAGTACCAGACCAGCTCACAGTTTTAAATTGAATATTACTTTTTAAAATCAAATAATACTGACTAACAACAAACAAACTGTTACCTGTGTGATCGTCAACAGTTTCCCCAGTATTTCCTTTCTGACGTTTCTTTGCCCTTATTCCACAGGTTGCCCAGCTAGTTAAACAGCACAACAAATGGAAATCCTCTGCTGTAAAACCCAGATTCTGAAGAAATGGCCGACCAACGTACTGAGGCCACGAGCAACAATGGTGACAGCAAAGGGCCAATATTATTCCTTTCACCGAATCTTCACTGGGAGCTATCTTTAATCTCTTGCTTCCCCTGTATTTTAAAAGGTTAGATGTAAAAGTACTGGTGTGTGAAGGATGCGGTACTATCTCAAAGTGCAAAACAGACATCTGTTTTACCTGAAGTTCATTTTTCAATGAATTGTACTTCTCAGTAAACAAGCAACTTGCGGTATATCCAGAGTCTGTTCAGTATCATTCTTCGAAAATTCATGGGAGTAAATTTTTTTCCAATAATGCTACATTTGTACCAGCTTACTTTTAAAGCTGTTGTCTAAAAAGTAAACAGCTTTTGACTCGGGAAAATAAATAACGAAACACTAAAAAAGGCATCCCAATGAAAATAGCGACCCTAACAGGTCGCTAATTCCGAGGGTAAAAAGTAACAAGGGCCCTTATTTGGTGTATTTTCGGGAACGTTACGCCAGTTTAAATATACTGAACTCTGTGCAGAGCATGTGCTTGTGCAGTGAACCATGAGTTTAGTTGTCGACGAGATGCAGTGTACATGACTTATTTTGTTGGTTCTCACCCTTGCTTCGATGGTTTTTTCCAGGGGGTTAGGTTAACTATTTACTCTCCTCGAAAATCAACATTTCCAATTTGGAGTACGTAGACAAAGACAGTCTACAGGGTACTCACCGATCAACAAAACTATCTTCTGCACTTGGGCTGCTGACTTCTGTGCTCTGAGAATTTATCAATGTCTCCATCAAGCATCTCAGAGTTAAATCTACGACAAGCAAGAATCTGTCTTGTTGTTATTATTCAGACGACTGGTTAGCTCAGTTGATCATCTTTTCCACCACCGGCCACATGAAGCCTGGGGCAATTGCTGGCCAGACCCATACTCAAGGTCTTAAAATAACTGAACAGAATGTGCTGCCTTTCGTTTCACCTCTAAAGAGGTTAGACATCGATATAGTTTTCGGATAAGGACAAAACACCCAGACCCAATCTGGCCCCCGTGAGACGTGAAAGAATCACACCATTCTTCCTAAAGAGTAGAAGAAGTGGATCCCAATGGTACTGCTATAACACTCGCAGATTGAGATAGTAGGGGGATAGTAGTGAACTGATTCAGGAGTACACCATTAAAGCATTAAAAAAAAGAGTAATTTTAGGAAGGGTTTTCTGTAACATACATGTATGTTAAATGCAGAAAAGTTTCTGATGTCAAACCAAAGAGGACAGCAACTTTTAGTTGCCAGTCCTTTGGCATTGCTCTAAGTGCTCGCTATCACTGAACGAATCAAACGGCTCCAATTCAGTTCGTTCAATTAATGATTTCATAGAAACACACTGCTTCATGCAACTGCTCCACACCAACTATCTGAACCCATGTAAAAATTTCTGTACATCACAAAGGAAAAGCTCTACGGGTGGTTTCCTTCAGTTCACAGGGAATCTTCAGCTCGACACGCAACGCGTTACGAAAAGGAGTGTGGTGTGACAACCAAAAGGGAGGCCACCCTCAAAGGGATCCTGGAATGGATGTCTTACCTGTAGCAGCTCCACATAAATGTTTACTGATTGCAACAATGTTTTGTTCTCTATTTTTAAGGCAAGGTACTTTACCTGCAACACAAAATGACAATGATTTATCACTAAAATACCAAATTTTACTAATGGAAGCTTGTTTTCCTGTTTTGCTGAAATACATTATTGGCATTCACCAAGGTAGCTCACTAAGGCACTGTAATACAAAACATTTTGTTTAACAGAGCACCCAGTTGTACATAAATTATTTAAAGTCAATATCAAGATATAGCCTCATATCCTCGCCCAATGCAAGGGAGTCCAAGCCCCTCTTGGATTCTGGATTTTACGCCGTTGTTTCCAGATTCCAGGTACTGGATTCCAGTCTTTGTCAGTGGAACTTGGATTCTGGATTCTAATAGTTAGCGGTATTCCAGATTCCTTGAGCTGTATTCCAGATTCCAAAGCCTAGGGTTCCAGATTCCACAAGGAAAAATTTCACGGATTCCGGAATCCAGATTCTCTTACATGGGGCGAGGATCCCTTTTGCACAACATCTGCTGTAGCAACACATCCTAACCCTTCTTGTTGTTACTCAAAAATTTGCACTAAATGTTGGCTATTAATGCACTACTGATAGACATTTCCTCACAAAACCTTTGATATACATTGCTATATATTTGATTGTGTTCTCACTAAGGTCAAGGTGTTCAATATCCAAGTTCAATCGCTGGAAGGATGGGCCTTGATCCTCGCCTCTGTGATAACGATCATACTAACGACAAGAAAAGAAAATTATTATCATGTTAAAAGTACAAAAGACTCACATAATGCTTCCCTTCAAAAACCTTCAGGACACTGGGCACTATCATTTGGCATTAACTTTTTCTAGGATTGTTTACAGTTCAGTGTACTTGAACATAACAAATACAAGTTGTGATTGGTTAACCAAAGGGTTAGATTTAAAGACATTTAGCTGCTTTGTCAGTATTATATAACAACATATTACAACTGCCAACATTGATTTTGTGGAGGGATTGTATAAAGAAAAGTGGTAAAAATAATGGTTATAGAGTATCCTTCCAAATAATTTCCACAAATAAAAAACTGGTATTCACTTGCCTTATATCTAATATTTGCTCTGTCAATAAGAAGATAATTTACATCCGTAGTATTATTTCCTACTGCCAACTGTAGCCAGTGAGACAGTTTTCCTACAAACAAACAATGTTCAGACTCTACACTACAACCAGAACCAGCTTATACAGCATAGTAAACAGCACTGCAGGAAAGGTTGTTCAGTAGCTCTATTCAGTACATTTGAATTGTTACAGTTCATGACTTCATCCACAGAGTCAAAAGTTAGAACCACCTTGTACATCATACAATATAATAAACAGTACCACTGACAGGAAAGGACTGTCCACAAAGCTTACATGCTGTAATTGTCAAACAACATTCTTTACGGTAATGCTATTTTTGGGGAAACTAACTGACCTCTTCCAGCTCCAAATTCTAAAAATGTTGTTTTTGGCCCAAGAAGATGTTGTTGTTCCAAATGACCAATAAGAGAGGCCTGTTTATCAAGGAAATGCAGTCAAGATGTGTACAAAATAATAAATTTTAAAAATGGGACTCAATAATATCAAAAACTGGACCTGAGTATGGAAGGAAGACTCATTAATAACTTGCTCCAATTGGGAAGTGGGGTGGGGTTTTACGCAAAAAATAAACTGCCAGAAATAGATTTCTGTCTTTTCTCTCTCAAGTCTCTCACAAAAAAAAATTGATAATAACACACAATCCATCAACAATTCCATAAATGTCTTTATATTATTACTAGTAATAACCAAAGTTTAGGGAGAGCGAGAAGTAATGATCGGAGGTCCAAACTCTTTTGCTCCAACACTGTGCATTGCTCCTAAGTTTCACTTAACAGATGGTCAAAACACGCGCGGATCACACTACGAGGGGTAGAAGGACGAAACGCATGATCAAATTGTGTTTTGTACATTCCATACATTCTTAGTGGAAGTCCAAACAAATGCTGGCTACATACACTGTACAAGCAACGCATGCATAATAACCTGGAGATTAGGATTGCAGGCTCCTCTTGTTACCCGCAACAAGGCATTTTTAATTACAGACAATTAAGAAAATGACATGAATGAAAAAGACAATATGGCAATGGCAATGACAGAGTATGTAATGCATTAAGATTGAAGACTCAAAAACTTACTTGTTGTTTTAAATGTTTCAAAATGGTAGCATTATTAGCCATTTCTAAAAGTTCTTCTCGAAACACCTGGTGGGAAAGTATTTCTTCTGGAATTTTTGGAATATGAGCTGCCAAATTGAGACAAAAATCAGACTGTTAATTTATGACTAATTATATACATGAGGGCAAATAAACAGTTTTATACAACATGAGGAACTTTTCTAGATTCAATACTATCAAAAAAGGAAGTATTTAAAGAATTAATAAAATTAATTCAAACAAACAAAATAATTAAATAATAATATTCATCTTTGAAAAAGAAAAATATCAACTCTCACACCATAAATCATTTTTTAAATATATATTCTACTACATATCACATTCCTAACATAATAATTATTTTAATTGTTCCAAATTAGATGCTGTGCAAAAGAGCTGACTTATAATAAAAAATGTGTTTTTATTCTTTATCTTCCACTCTTTGTACCTTTTTATTTTCATGCCAGAATGAAGAAACCCCTTTTGAGCATTCAAACAGTCTATATTCAAATACATGTAAAAACAATATTCACCTTTGCAGCATGCCTTAACTTTCTCTATCAATTTTGTTACTTTTTCTTGGGAAACAGAATTTAACGAAACCTGAAGATAAAAAAAATATAGCTCAGCTGACAGAAGGTGAATGCAGGCAAATAAGTGCCATAATTACAGAAATAGGGGTTAAATCTTTGTTGAATCCAGAAATATATTATTACTTTTAGTAAACGAACCATTTTTGTCTAATCCATTTCAATCCTTATGTTTTTGTTTGCTTGTTTGATTGTTTACTGTTTAGGCCTTGTTATAGACTTCTCCGTCCCTGGCTAAGAATGTCAAAGATATTTCAACAGTGTCGGCACTTCCCTCCTTTGGATACAAAATAGCACAAGCTATGATAATCCATCCCTTTGCTGTGTATAACCCAAACATAATAAACAAACACCTGAAACACAAAATCTAATGTACCTTTTCTGCTGGGGAAAATTCATAATTTGAAATGCCAGAGTTGATGTTTGCACTGTAATAAACCTACAAGAAGTGAAAAGACGTGTCCTACTTAATTGTAACTGTACACAAGAAAATGAGCAAATAGTATGTTGTCCATTACAAACTTGCAGAAGATTAAAGCTGTACATAAAGTACAAGTAACAGAAAAAAGTACAAATATACTGGGCCTATCATGAAAAACTACCACAAAAATAAGCATTATAAGAGGGATGGAATATCCTTTCACATGGGGTTTTGATGTTGACATATTTCACAGCATTGACTGTAAACAAAGTACAGTATTGTATTAGAACATACAAGGGGAACTAGTTCCTTCAGTTACCAGAGAGATGAGTATAAAACTTCACAAGAAAGCACCAGCAATGGCAGTGGTTGTGGCCTACTACATGCACAATTCAAGAGTGTTACACAGAAAAGTTTTGTTTCCTTCTTTACATATACGTATATGTAAATGTACTTACAAAATTGTGTTACCACCGAAATGCAGTGGCCCATTAACATGGCTGCACGTATTGTCTTGCAAAGGCTTCTCACAAAATTTACCACTACAATAAGTTTGTTGAAATTACAGCCTGAAATTTTCCATTAATTGGCACAAACTGCAGAAAATAATATTGAGCCTTATTACTGGTAGGTTGCATCTTTAAAAGAAGATGCTGTTATGTTGTTAGTCTATTATCTACATGGTGTATATACACATGTAATTTGTAAATCTTCACAAACTTACCACATGAATCTTTTTTGTTTGATTGCATTTCTTAAGATGCCTCTCCAGCTGATCTTCATAAACAGTGCTATGATATCATGAAAAATGCACATTCAGCAAACTATAACTAAATGCAATTAATATTATAAGAAAAAAATAATGAGAAGGAACTTCTTTGCCAGATGTCAAAAATTATAAGAGGTTCTGACAAATAGCGGCTGCATAGAAGGGCAAGGAAGTGGTGTGGTTAAAATTATAAACCAGCCTGCATGAGAAGGGCATACATAATTGTTTCTATACACTGCAGGGCTGTCATTAAGAGCCGGGCGGCCAGGGATTTCCCCCAGCGTCTATCAGTGTGGCCCCCGGCTACTTTTATTGGAAAATAGAAGAAAACTAGAACCAACAGATATCTGATATCCCTAGCTGTTTGA